ATTTTATTTTTATTTTTGTGGTAAAAGATAAAATAAAAGAGCATGGGAAGATTTCTACTGATAACTACAAGAGTTACATAGGAGAGTCACCTATTTTTAATAAAATAAAGTTCTTTAATCACTTCACCCAATTACTTTCATTACTGCATACTTTGCTGCTTTATTATAAATCAATATGGCTCTTAGGGTTGGGGTATTTCATGCAAAATTTGTCTCATACTCAGTCATGCTGGTTCTGCATCACTCTTATTTGACAAGCCAGAAAAGCTCTTAAAAGGACACCAGATATTCAGTATTTATAGACTTAACATATTTACTAGGGGTGGACTAATAAGAGATTTTGGGACCCGCTAGCGGATTTTTAAGGAGACATATTGGCCAATACTGATCTGATTTCCGATACAGCTGCATCCAGCTGGTAAGTCTGTTGTGGTGGAAGGGGAGGGAAGATCAACACCTCCCGCAGTGAGAGAGGGAAGTGGGGCTGATCTGCCCCTGCTACACCTCTTCCCTCTCCCCTTCCCTCCCCCCACAACAGACTTACCAGCTGCAAGCAGCTCTCCAAGCTGCCAAGCTGTGCACCTCACTGCCTGCATGCTGCACTGTGCTTGCATGCACTCGCAGGCATTTATTAGCCAAATTATCGGCCCCATCAGGCCAATTTCTGATATAGGCAATTTTCTTAATATTAGTGCTGATCCAATATTGGACTGATGTATCAGTGCACTGCTAATATTTACATAATGCTCTCAGGGTATTCTAACATAATAAAAGGCTTAATGTGCATGTGTTTCTGTCTCTCTGTCCATAATGCTTCTGGCCAAGTGCACATGCGCTGCCAAGTGGGCGGGTGGCAATTGGTTGGACAGTCCAGGCTGCATGGGCCCAAGTTTGTGCCACTGCTGGGGAAGTTTGGCTGCACGGAACATGCCCTGGAGGCACGGAACATGCCCTGGCCAAGCAGCGGGGCTTCCCCTCCCCCTCCCTGCCTTAGGACAAAGAGGCGGGGGGGGGAAAAAAAAAAGAGTGGCAGCAACCCCTACCCCCCACAGAACAGCTGGCAGAGAGGCGGAGGTGGTGGGCAGGGAGCAAGGAAGGAGGGTGGGGAGGCAGGTGGATATGGACCAGGCACACCCGGAGCAACATGAGGAGAAGGGGACGGGGGAGCGGGGCCAGACCCGAAGCAGTGTGGGGGTCAAGCAGGGTCAGACCCGAAGTGGCAGGGGTGCAACGGGGGTGGGGTAGGACCAGACCCAAAGTGGCAGGGGGGTGGGGCCAGACCCAAAAAAGTGGCAGGGGTGAGAGAGGGGGAGCAGGGTCAAACCCGAAGTGGTGGGAAAGGGGGAGCAAGGTCGGATCCCAGATGCCGGGAGGAGGGTGGGGGTAGAGTGGGGCTGGACAAGGAGTGGCCGGAGGGGGGTGGAGTGGGGCTGGACACAGGACTCTGTCCCTGCCGCCCCCCCACCCCACATCATTCTTGACAGGCAAGTTGCTAGTATTAAAATAGTGAACTAAGTGTTATTAAAACATCTCAAAAACAGGGATGAGGTACTTGGAAAGATCACTAAGCTTTTCACCAGTAGCTCAACTGATTCATATCCAGCCCTAATCAACAGTGACTAGACTTATCATACAGTGACTTTTGGCATATCTAAAAATATTTTGTCTTAAAAAAATTTTTGCTCACTTTAGAAGACAAAACAAAACAAAACACTACCCCCCCAAAAAAATGAACTCCAAAACATACAGCTGGCACAGTCTAAAAAAAGAAGACCACATTTCAGTGGAAAGGGACAACAAATGCCTTCTGACTGAAACAGGAAGATCCACCATCATGGACCACAGATTTTGTCCTGCACAGAAGGAAGACAAATTAGTGGTGAAGAAACAGCTACCTGTTCCACAGCTACTCTGTGGACAGATAATGAATTTCACTCTCCAGGGAACAAATAAGCCACCATCTTTCATGCCCTTAGAATCATAGAAAAAGTAGGGCTGGAACAGACCTTAGGATATCTTTTAGTCCAGCTCCCTACTCATCCCTATCTAAACCATCCTAAACAAGCGTTTGTTTAATCCAGGGAAGATCAAACATTTAGAGCAAAGGCCACCACCAGTACGCCCTGGTAAGGGGGGAAGGTAGAGAGGAGGGACTGAGGTGGTTGCCAATATTAGGAAAAGGGGAAGGAGAAGAGGCAGGGGGAGAGATGAAGAGAAGAGAACTTACCTCTGGGCTGAAAATAGAATCAGTGGCATGGAGCCAAGCAAGGAAGGGGATGTGCCAGGCCAAGCTGTTTGCCACTGGTCCCTTGTACTATGGGCTGATTCAGTCATTTCAGGGGCTGGATAAGGCCCACAGGCCATAATTTGAACACTGTTAGTCTAACCTATTCTTAACCCCATATTTAAAAAACTTTGTGAACAACCCTCTTGCACAACTACAAGGCACAATGCCAAATACATCAAAACGACCCTAATTTGCTACAGATAAAAGCAGGGGGATGAGGGCACTGTCAATACTCTACCACTGCAAAGACAGGAAGTAGTTGTTAAAATGTACTCAATAAATTCTAGAAGACCAGTAACATGTTCATGAGATTTTGAAAGGTAGGCAAGGATCTCCTAACTGATCAGATAAATTAAGCAATAATACTATGCTTAGCTTATAGAAGGAGAACAGTCTTTATAATTAGTGCTTTATGGTAAAATACCTGCAACATGATCTGGAAGTTTCTTCTTTCTGCTTCCCACTGTTCTGACTTAAACCTAAACTCCTTAAATGTAGTCTCCCTGATCTGTGATTCCATCGTATTCCTTTGCTCCTTGTGATGCTCCATAGTTTCCTTGATATAGATACAGTCTTGCTTTATTATTGAAAAGCACCAATAGGAAGTTAGAAAATCCTACTTAAACCATTAAACATACTGTGCTTTTAAAGAATTATTTAAGCCTTGTAAGTCTATCCTTATAAGCACAGTCTTTAAAGGAAAGCATATTCAAAAATTCACTTCCATGACCGGTGTCCTAATGGACAAAAGTAGACTTACAATCAGAGTTAAGCTTCCTAGCTCCAGGTCACAGAACCCTTCATGTCACTTTGGAGAGACCCTCTAGAGCTGGCTCAGGTTGACATGGAATGGATCTGGAAGAAACTATATCCAGCTCTCCTTAGCTGAAGAGAGGATCAGCCCAATATAAAGTCTTAAAAAGTGGTGAAAAAAACCCCAAAAAACCCATGCCCCATGACAATCCAAGTATTCTAATATTATGAGAAACTAAGTCTGTCTATCCATAGTGCTTTATTCACACTGACAAACAGCCAATCAGAGTGCAAACAAGCATTCGAACAGGAGCTGGTGGCACACCACCATGATGGTGGGGACACAAGGGACTGGGAGGGGGGGGCCAGCACAGCTAGACTCGCCCTCCCCGCCCTACTCCCTGGAGGCAGGGGCAATGGAGAAGACGGACCGGGGGGGCGAGGCCAGCACTGCTGGCCCCCCTCCCCTGGCCCTGCGCCCTGCAGGTGTCAACAATGGAGTGGAGGGGGGAAGCAAGGTCACACCACCCCCCACCTTGTAGGTGAAGGCAGTGGCGTGGGGGGCTCACACAGGACGGGGAGGCATGGGGCTCCGTCCCTGCACACTTCCCACCCCCTGGTCATTCCTGATGGCCAATTGGCTAGTAATTGAATAGAAGCTGTTGCATTTGTAAGCAGCAATCTATTCTTCTGTTCTGTAACCACATTGGGTTACTGACAAACCCATACCTTGTAAGAGCTGCTGTGGTTTACTTCTTAAAAAAATGAAATGTATGTTCAATTATATGGAGCACTTTTCTCTTCAAATAGTGCAAAAGCCATGTGTAAAAATCAGTATGCTCTAATTTAGTACCACAAACATTAAAATATTTTCATCATAATTGCATACTTACTTCCTGGTGTTGCTATCATGCAAAATAAAGTAATCCTGGGTGCTCTAATTCTATGTGTCCATACCTTAACAGGCTTATATTTCTTTAAGTATAATGTTCAGATGTTAAACATTCTGGTTTTGATTGCTTGGTTATGAAATAATTACTACATCCTCATCATGTCTTCTACTCTTAAGTGGTTCATCCATCCAGACTTAACAATATTCTAACATTTTCGTTTTGGAATGTGAAATTTTAAGATTTGAAGAGTAGCATGCAATTGCAACACTGTACAGCCTTTTCTCAGCTTTAGGTTTTTTTTTCCAAGTGGCAGGGAATCATGACACCAGCAATCCAGTTCTGCCTTCAGAAGTCTAGCACAGAGCACAGGAAGCTACAAGTATAATTTAAATCTATGCCAAGAGTCCCTATCTGCATTGGCATCCTCGCAGTGGTAGAGCTCCTTGCCATTTGTGTTTTACAGCAAAAGCTACGTTATCCGGCACTTTATCAACCAGAAAGCTCTGCTAACTGGCACCCAAGGGATGCGGCAAAAGCAAAACCCGAAGTCCCATTTCCAGTTTTGCTGCCATGGGCCGAGTTCTTCTTCTTCTTCACTTCTTCAGCTCACGGCCCAGGGCAAAGCAGCCTGTGCAGGGCCCCCGCCCCCATCCCCAGGGAGAGCACCAGATGGTGCACATTTGATTAACCGGCATCCCCCATTCCCAGGGGATGCTGGATAACAGAGCTTTTGCTGTATGTGTGTGTAGTGTGTGTGTGTATTACACACACACACACACACACACACACACACACACACACACACAGAATAATAGCTTTTTTAAAAATCATGTAATTTTAGAAATCATTTTTCATGAAAGAAGGTACACAGGAGTTGGATCATATTACAGTATAACTCTTAGCAAACGAAGAAAATAAACAAACTTCTGTAAATGTAAGCTGAGTATTTCATATTCTCTGGGGATACTGTCTGAGATTTTAGTTTTATTCAGAAAAAAGAAAAATAAAAGGAAGTCTGGAAATCATTATCCCATTCCTTTCATTATTACTACTTTAAAACATTATACCTGTAGAACACTTTCCAATTTAGTCCTCTCCTTCAGAAGCAATTCATATTCACTGTTACAGGTCTTGAGGATTTTATCTTTCTCCTCTAAGTCAGCTGCAAGTCTTTGCTGATGCTCTTTCCACTTCTGCTGAGCAATACGAAAGGCTCTCTCAGTCTCTGTCACTTTCTTTTGAAGCTCTGCATTAATTGCTTTTAAGAAAGAAAATATTGGCAAATATAAAGTTAGTGGTAAAACCAACATTAGTTCCTCTGTGTGTTCTGTTTGTTTAGTATACAATAGAAAATGTCTTAGAAGATCAATGTTTCTGGAAACAGATTGTTGCTATTATAGAGATACAAAGATAATGCTATTATTTTGTATTTCCGTAACATCTTCTATATACTGTCAAAGTGTATTACAGACATTAATTAAAATTAAGCCCCTCTGAAAAAAGCAAGCAAAAATCATCTCCATTTTTCAGAAGCAATTGACAGAGTTATTAATTTCATATTTCAATATAATTCACTGCCTTTGGCAAACAATTTCTATCTGGATACTGGTCTCTGCAAACATAATTGTCTGCATCTCCTGTGCTACCTCTTTCTTCAGCTTCAATTTTGGTCTTCACCTTAATTATTTATATTCTACTGATAAGAAGAGTATTCTTCAGCTAAAACTATGTAACTTCTGCTACCCAAGTCAGATCGCCTACTGTCAGGGACTCTGATCAGGCAGGCAGGCCAGGCCAAGTCCCTCAGTAGCATACCTCCAGTAAGTCTCAGCAAATACTGTTCCCAGTTTTGGAACAGTAAGCAGCCTGACTGGCTGCTAAGAGTGCTGCCTATACATTTAGCCACAGCTGGGGCCCTAGGTTTGCAGGCCAGTCAACAGTTCTACTGTTGCAAGCCTCCTGGTTCCTGACTCTGGGTTTTGGCTTATTTTTGGACTTCGGCTTTGGATTTTCCTGCAGATCTATTTCCTGGTCCTGCCCCTGGTTGGGCTCTGTCCTTGGACCTCGCCTTGTGGATTGTCCTTTGGATTGGTACTCAGCATCTGATCCCCAGATCCTGACCCTGGACTGTGTTGTGGACTCTGCTTCTTGGATTTCCTTCTCGTTTTGGTAATGACTCCCACTCTCAGACCCAGAGCCAGGCCCCTGCTTTCCCTTAGTGGTTTAACCATCAGACCAGACCACACACGCCCTGGTCCTTTACACCTACCATCAAGAATCTAAAGCTCAACTCAACATATCTGCATTGTCACATCTGTAACACTTAGGGGTGCACCAATAGAGATTTTTCTTGGCCAATACCAATAGCTGATTGTTTACCAGGCATATTGGCCGATATCAATCCGATAACCAATTTACAGGAGCACAGTCCTGGGCATGGCAGGGGCAGATCAAGACCCCAAGGTGAAGGAGGGAGTGGGGCAGGGGGCTAGAGCTGGGGCTGGGAGTGCTGCCAAGCCAGGGCAGTGAATGGGACACCAGGGAGGGGAGTGGAATGAAGCTGCAAGAGGTTCGTCCAGGGGATCAGCGTCCCAGTGCTTAAAAATGGCAGCAGCAGGGATTGAACTAAAGCTTGTCAAATGAGCTTTAGTTCAAGCACTGCCACCACCATTTTTAAGCATAGGGATACTTTTAGGAGTGGAGCTAAGCAAGATGAGGGCTGATGCAGGCTGCCCGCTTAGGGCTCAGGGCTGTCTGTCCTGCTGCTTTTGCCCTGGGAGCTGCACACTCACCACTCTGTGTCCTCGGCCCGCCTGGTGACAGGGATCACAACTCGCCGCCACCACTGCCACCAGATGGGCAGGGGGTGTGCAGCCAGCACACAGATCCTGGGGCAAAAGGCAACAGTGTGGACAGCCCTGATCCCACAGCAGGCAGCCATCATCTGCCCCGCATACAATTCTAGGGAGGCATATGCCCCCCCATACATCTCCCAGGGGTCTTGGACTGGACCCACACAATGTGAAGAGCTGGTCCAGGGCAAATTGTAGCACCTGGCCCATGGATAAGCTTTATGCCACTCATCCAGGCTGTGGACAGGCCTAGGGTTACCATACATCCAGGTTTTCCAGGACATGTCCTCTATTTGGCCCCCTGTGCTGCATCCAGGTGCGTTTTAAATGCAAGCAAAAATTACAGGATTTCCTCCCCTGACCAGTTTTCAACATTGCTGCTGCTAGGTTCCCAAAGTACCTAGTGTGGTGAGTGCGCAATCAGGAGCCGAGTTCACGATTTTGCTTTGCTCCACTGGTGGGAGCAGGGGAAGGGTGATCTGAGGCAGCAGGGAGCCCAGAGGGTCAGGAGTGAGGAGCACCAGCAGGGCTGGGAGTGGGAGTGGCTGAGGATCAGGATTGAAGGACATGGGGGGGGCACAGATGACTGTGGGTTGGGGGTGTGGGGCACCAGTGGGGGGGCAGGGTACTGCTTTTTGGGAGTGAGGTGCACTGGCAGGGCTGGGGTCAGTGGGTTGGGAGTGAGGGGCAGCAGGGCAGGGGAGGGGGGCTGTGGTTTGTCAGCGAGGGGCAACAGAATGGGTGGGGCAGGGAACCAGCATATTCTCCCCCTCCCCCCCACAGGTGTCTTTATATTTGGACCTGGAAATATGGTAACCGTAGCAGGCCCTACACCACTCATCTGGCCAGCTAGACTAAATGAGTTTAACACCCCTGCCCTAAAACACTAGTGTCCTTCTGACCTCCAAAATTATAATGCATTTCTCCATTACTACTTTAAAGTAACTGCATTCTGTATTTCACCTGATTTTCTGCAGGTCCTATCAGAACACCCAAATCCTGTGCCTGACTTTGATTCTTAGACCTCTTGAAATAAAACAATTCCAAACTATTCAGGTTCTTTGTTACTCAATATATGGTCTCATCCCTCTAAACATGCTCTTTAAAAATTCCTCTTATCCTGCAGAAGAATTTAGAACTCATCCCTACATCTGCATACACATGAATGGATCTTGTAGGCTAATTTTGTATGTTTTCATTTTCTTACTTTACCATATACACAGAGAGGTACTGAGAATTAACTGAACACAACTTTTGAGTACAGTGATCGTCATTTTAAAATTCTTTCCTTTCACTATCGTTTTAAAAAAAAAATTAGAAAAAGCAGAAAACTAGACTTTCTAGTAAAAAAGGAGGTTAAAGCAGCAACAAATAAACCAAGAAAAATGGTAGTTAAACAGCACAAAGTAAAGGTTACCTAAGGAGAACAGAGAAATTAGAAGAAATATTGAAAAAGGCTGCTAGTTCACAGGAGCCCATCTGACAAAGAAGCCAACAATTGAGACAGATAGCATATTAAAGCAGCAAGTAAGCAAGTAAAGACTAAAGAAGATTCCAAGTCACAAGGGAAAATGAATATGAAGCCAGGAACTCCAGGAGAAGAGGGAAGCAATATAAATCAGCATTTGACTTTTTCAACAGCTAATTAGCTTCTTAAATCTGAAAGCTGGTCACAAAACATTTTGACAGCTGTATCTTAGGTAGAAAGTCTCCTACAATGTTTAATATTTAAGATGACACCTAAAAGCTAGCAACTAAAAGAGCATTATAATTAACAAGTAAAGGAAAGCATATAGCTTCCTAATTATAGAAAAAAAAAGTTCTCTACCAAATAAATCTTTAGCCTGCAGCGTTTAAGACAGCTTGCACAGGAAAAAAAGTTGAGTGTTTGTCCTACTTTGCTTCTTAGAATATATAAGGTAATCCTAAAAGGTATTATTTTGTTTGTTTGTTTTTTAATTATTTAAAGGAAGTGGCATAATCAGTTTAGCTGTTTCCTTAGGCATATCAGTTATGTCTCTTTGGTTAACAAGTAGTCTTTCTAAGTCCTTAATTTGATGTTCAGCATTCAGACACAATACCCGAAGACATATTTCCTGTTTTACTTTTCAAAGGTATTTGAAAAAAAAAAAAAATCACCACAAAAAAGTTAACTTTCCCTTATAACACTTGCCTATACTCCAGTCAGGCAGAGTTCCAAAATAGACAAAACCTAGATTTCTACTGTACAAAAAACAGAATGTTTTAGGACTATGTCCTCCTCCATATTTAACAGAAGGAATTAATAAAAAAGCCCTACCAACTTAAACTGCAAGACAGGGAGGTGACCAAAAGCAGCTTACACTTCATACCAAATCCAGAGGAAGAGTCAAAGAGATTATGATCAGATCTCTGAGAGAGAAGGAAAACCTTTTTAAAAAGAGAATGTGAATGAAATACATGGTGGCCAAAGATCAGGTATAGTAAGTTGGGTTTTAACACAATAAAAGTGGAGAAAAAAAGAACCAGAACGTGGAGACAGAAGCACAAATAGGATTAAAAAATGACATTGAAAATATAGGCCTGGAAAAAAGAATAGTATATGACAGTGATCTATAAGAGACAACAGAAGGAAAGGGAGTTGTCAGTGAGGAGCACAGAGCTGAAGGAAAAGAGATGGAGCCTTAGTGGCTAGGGACAGAAGTTGCACATAAAGCGGTTAAAGTGATCAGAAACTGGCTTAAACCTGTAACAACCGATGTTCAGTGCACATAAACCAGTTTCAAAATGGCTGAAACTGGTTTAAAATAAACCTGGTAGTATCAGATTAAACTGATTTGGGTCAAGCCAGTTTATGCAACTTCTATCCCAGACCCCTTTCTGTTTTAAGTTAAACCAGAATCCTCCAGCATCCCAGCATGCTCTCTGGACTGGTCTGTGCCGTTTGCTCCAGAGAGTAGAGCTGGCCATGCCCCTCTGCTCTCTAGCTAAAGCAGGGGCAGAGATGTGGTGAGACACCAGCTGGCATGGCCCTGTTAACCCCTTCCCTGCCCTCTTTACTTTAATTCTTCCCTCCTTCCCCTCTCCCCCACCATAGCCGGGGTCTGCCTGCCTGCGGGTGAGCAGCAGAGGCAGAGGGGGCAGCCAGGGGTCTGGGCGAAGCTGGGGTTGACGGACCCTCCTCCCTGTCCCCTTCACCTAAAGGGGGCCATGCCCAGACAGCATCTGGCCACATCCATCACTGGAGCAGCAAGAGGAAGGGGAGGGACCTCTGTCAGAGTGCCCAGGAGGGGTTTATTCCTCCCCTTCTTCTCTGTCCCACCGCAGCCATTCTGGCATCACCCCATTAAGGCTAAGGGAGCAGAAAAGGGGTTAATTACCTCCCAAACAGGGGGCTGCAGCTGGGGTGGAGCAGCTCCCCCTCCTCCCTGCCACCCCACCACTGAGTGGGGAAGGGAGCTCTGTGCAGGTCTGCCTGGACCCAGAGGGTCCTCATCCCTCTGCTACTCTCTCGTACCAGGCAGGGAGGGGGACTCTGTTTGGTGCTGGAGGGCAACTCTTCCCCCTCCTCCACCTCCTCCCTCCCCGGGGGGGGGGGGGGGGGGGCCGGTGGGGGTGTAGAGGGGGGTC